CAGACACGCACTCAGTGAGTTCAGAGGACATTATGGTGGCTTACACTCATTCCTGTAGGTTTGCGCTACTCTTAACCATTACTGCTATTTGCCGAGCCCTAACTGCTGCCCTGGCCTTAACCTAACCTTACCCCGTCTTTAAAATTTGTCTTCACCTTAAATTTAATGATTTACGTTACGGCTGCTTGCTTTTTGTCCTCATAAGAAAGGCACGGCCTCATAATGTGCGTAAATAGATTTACATGAGTAATGCCTGTATCACCGCTTCCTATCAAGCACGGTACTTATCTAAAATATGAGCACGCACGTGCACGCATAGACATGCAGGACCTCTCCCATGACATGAAGCGTGCGTTGTGTTAGTCTGTGACATATGATGGAGTGAGTCATGCCATGGAGATGGATGTTTAATCCCACAGAGAGTGGCTTCCAGACAGCCATCAGGTGCTGGAGTGGCCTGCGGTCACAGCGGTTATTACCTTGTAGGCTAAGGACAAGGATGTATTGTCTTCAGGTGTAAGGGATGGTGTTTAAAGAGAAGGATACAAAAAGTTAAAGACAACCATCCAATAAAACATTTTAACCATACACTATTGGGCACTATAACTCAGATTTATATTCTTAAGATTTTGCAGGTCTGTGATTGTAAGATTGAGCTATTGGCTTGATTTCCACTTATTCTCATGAGAATAAGTGGAAATCACCCAAGGAGCGTTTCTGAAATACATCACTGATAATCTCCCAGTTCACACAGTGATATATTCTTTATTTCTTTTACTATAACACTCATTCCACCATCTCAAGTTGCCAAGGGACTAGCATGCAATATTTTTACTTCAGCCTTATTTACCTACTTTACTTTAGAGAAAATGTTTTGCACCATATTGTGAGCTGGTGCTCTGTAGTATAAAATCACGAACACTCCTGAACAGGTTGTTAGAGCTTGTAAAAAGACGTTTTATTGTTATTCACTCCAAACGCTGGATCCGGCAGTCACATTTAGTCGAATTATCATCAGATATACTGCATTCTTCCATATAAATGAAAAGGGCAAAGCTTGTTTTGAGCATATTTATTTATACCAGACTACTTATGTAAAAAAGACACGTGTAATGCAAAAAGCCTCTTGTTGTTCCCTTTTCTCTCCACAGAGCCAGCTCTACATGCATCTGACCAACTACTCAGTCAACAAACACAACGAGAACTTTGAGCGAGATGAGACGGTGGACAAAGGCAGCAAGAGGTCCATCAGCTGGTTCACCGAGTTCCTCCGCACCAATGACTATGATGTGGCCAAATTCTGGGGCGACGTCTCTGTACGTGGGCAGTCCACCCAAAACACGTGCAAACACAGATACAGTTACACTCAGACGCGCCTGACGTCCACTTCCAAAAGCAAGGATGTAGAGTATGATAACAAAACACTCCACAAATGCAAACAGTGAATGACTTCATCCTCAAAAGTAATCTGTACGCAGGCTGTCACATATATGTGTGTGTGTACACACACATGCTGCTCCTGCTAACAACACCCGTTGCACGCAATGCACAAGTGGACGAGCTACGGCTTGATATGATTTGTTATGACAGTGATTCTGTGAGCTTGTTTAACTCCAGGAAGAGCTCAGTGGAAACATCATTCCTGGAGGGTGAGCTCTCCCGATTTGGCGTTGCTCCCTGCTCATCCAAACACTTTAACCTTGTTCATTTCCTTTCATCATTGTCTGTTTGTAAAATTCCTTCACCTCCTGATTGATTTTTCTTTTTTTCCTTCTTTTTTTAAACGTGTACATCCATCCATGCCGGTCATGTGCCTTTTTATCTTTCTGTTTCTACTCTTTTAGTTGCTCCTTTCTGTTTGACCCATTTTTTTAGGTTCTCTTCATGCGCTCAGTATTCAGTATTATTTTCTCTTTTATTCCTGACCTTGAGTCTTTGTCCTGCTGTCCATAATCATTTGAGTTGTGTGGTCCCTCAGTACTTGTTCCCTGCTTTACGGCCTGCTCTCATGCTACCACCACTCAAAACCAAAATGAAATCCCTTTGGTTATTATTCTGTACTCAAGGAAAGCTTTTATCTCTTCTCCTTACTGCCTGTTTTTTTAATTTTAATGTTTCTTCATGTTCATGTGGCATGCACATTACTTGCTGGGAAAATGTGTTGTTTAGATAACATTTTCTTTTCTCCCCTCTTTATTCCTGTCTCATATCCACATTGTGTGATGTGTCCATGTGCTCCATTTGGTGAAGGAACTAACATTTCCTTTCCTGTATTTTACTTAGTTTTCTTGGTTTTTTTGGTTGTTTTCTGTCTGTTTTCCTGTCCTTTAGTAACACCGCGTGTCACCTCCTGACTCAGCCACAACGTCCACCTCTCGTCTTGCTCTCTGCGTTGTTTTCTCTTTTCTTTCTCTTTTTCTCTGCGCTTTCTTCAGAAGTTGCACCACTTTGGTGTTAGTGCTGTACATTTGCACTCACACACTGTGCTTTGTTTCAACTCTGTATTTATGCTCTCTGCGCCCTCTCCCCTCTTCTTCTCTTTTCATCTCTCCTCTTACATTTTGTTACCATGCAGACCTAGCAGGCTGCCCCGACTCTTCCTGCCAGTGTTCATGGTCAGGCAGTCAGAGAGTGTTTGCCAAAAGATTTGTCTGTACAGGTTAAGAATATTGTACATATATA